AACACTGGTGAAACGGTTTCATCCCTTCTGGAAACCATGTGCACTGTTTCCCCAGTTTAGTGACATTGCGCGAAATACTTCTAACAAACCTCACAGTAAGGTTTGTCTTCCGCTTGAACGCTTTCAAAGTACATTACGCGTCACAAACGTTATAAAATTATTGTCATTCTTACTGTATTTTATAAGTACACGTTTAAATGATAATTTAACTCCGTGGACAGAATTTTTTTTAAAAAACTACGCCTCACAGATGGTAGAATTTCCCAACAAAGCTGTATGTAACTTGAAAGTTTATTACTGTGTTAATTATATTAATCCATTTAATATCCTCATAACCTATTCGTTTTAAGATCTGCTTTAGGCGTCCTTTACACTATAGTTTGAGCAAAAAACAACCAGGATTTCCTACTAAAATTTTGTATGTATTTCTCATTTCCAACCGTGCATAGTATCACACAAGTCCACAACACCTCCTCCATTTTATCAGCATGATATCTGATAAACAGAACAGACTAAACGTACATTTTAACCTCAAATTTATCTGACTATAAATTAGTTCCGTTCAGTTCCTGAATGCCTCAAACCCCGTAAAATACAATTTGCTTTACTTTTAATCAGGAATGACTGTACTTATTCTTTGGTTCTTCATTTTCTTGTCTGACTCCTCTATGCCGAGATTCATCATCGTAAAACCTTCACCGCTGTTCTTATGGTTCGAAGATTCATACATAATTAATGAATTACTGAAGGCAACAGAATTTATGATGGTTACGAAGAAGACAATGTTGCCCTTGCCTCTTTCCACTTCTTATTCTGCTCGACACTAGCTCATTTTTCACCCAGGGAGCACCTGACGCAAACCGCGATTTCATTGCAATCTATTCATGCACACACCCCCCCTTCATAACACCCCCACAGACTTGCTACCGTCCAGTCCTAAACAAAAGCACACCACGCATTCACCCCACGAAACCTGTTATTTATCCCTGATTCATATCACACGCACATACAGACAGAATTACTTTCACTTTAAGATAATTTATCCTTTGTCCTTGTAATCCTGGGGTCTCGGGTTCGATTCCCGGCGGTGCCCGAATTTTTAACTTGTGTTGGGCAAGGCCGTGGTTTAGGCAACACGGAGTTTTCCTCCGTTGCATCCCAACAATTACTCCATTCACACAGAAGAAGGCAATGGCAAACCCCTTCTGGATCATCTGCCAAGAACGTATATGAACAGGTCCCAGTCCGAGAAAAGGATGGAAGGATCCTGTTCATATGGACCTGTCGTCAGACAGAACACTATATAATATATAACACGTGGTAGATCCCAAAACTCGACAGAATAATTAGGATGTGAAAACTGGCCCCCTCTCCTACGCTTAATAACAACATAGCAATCCAGAGGAAGTAAATCCTCTATTTGGAAATTTAATAAATAGATCTGGGGCATTACTGGAGAGACTTAACTGACGTGGTCCTCGCTCCAGATGCGGCGTAGGGCGTCACAGTTCTGTAGTTAGTCGTAAATTTTCTTGCTTACTCTTGATACAATCTCGCATGACTAGATAAGACGGGACGTATGTCTCGAAGGAAGGAAATAAAGCTACAGGACTCTCAGTTTAAAGGATTGTTTTAATCCTTTGTATGGTCCGTAACAATGAAACACAATCGTTTATTTGGCGGACTTGGGGAGTAGCTAAGAGTTACACATGGGACCCAACAGAGTTTAAGATTAAATGATTATAAGAATACGATTACCCTGTGATAATTAATATGATAAAATATAATTATACCGCGCAATGTGTTGGAATATCATGGTGCTGCTTAAGTTTTGTGCAATATATAATAAAAGTAGAATATCACATCTCTGGGACCTTTCCTGCTATCTGTTTTCCATTTGTTGCAGCAGAGTACTGTCTTAGCGATGCTGAGCGTCGGTAGTATACTGTATAATATTTTCATTCTAATCAAGGTACTACGGAAAATTGATGTCAGTTAACAAAATTGCCTGATGTCTGTTGGAAGGGACAGTTTATGGCTGTGAACTCAAGGATGTACACAGATAATAAACTGCATGTTTTAAAATGTATCATACATGAATTCAGACACGCTTTAGAACAATAAAATTTGAAATTGTATTCCGTACCGGAATACAAATAATATCCTCATGAGTTCTTTGCAACGTGCATTTTGATGTATTAAATCCGCCTTGTTCGATAGTTGTCACTTTGGCCAGATCGTAGCACCTCAACGTCCACCTCACGATTATCTTCAGCCGTCATTTTGTTATCACCGCCCGTAAGATATTCAAAAGTACGACTTTGAGACCGTTCAGAATGGCACAACCTCCATACCAAATTTAATAAAAATCCGTCCAGTGGTTCTCGAATTGAATCGATTGGACAGACGAACAGACAGGACCTGCCCATATTGCGTTCTCTCTACACCCTTCGTGCAAACAACCTAACAAAAAGGAAAAAAGTAGGTAATATTTCATACTAGGGCTCGGAATTTATTTATAAATTATTAGATTCCTTAACGTTACTCCGATAACTTTATAAGCCAACCCGAGTCTAACCTCAGGATAATTACGAATGATGATAGAATTCGAAATGGTCGAAGTAAGGCGCTAAGTCAACATTTACCTCGGAAAGCTACCAAGAGCTTCAGAGTGCAAGAGTCCGGGCTGAGATTCAAGTCGAACCAGAGACTTACGATGGCTCAAAAATTGTTACCACCCTGAACCGTCACGTTCGGTTCTATCAACAGAATATCAGGTGAGAAGTCAGATTTGAATGTTCAAAGGAAAGACAACACTGGTGAAACGGTTTCATCCCTTCTGGAAACCATGTGCACTGTTTCCCCAGTTTAGTGACATTGCCTGTAAACGAAACCGGTTCTACCATATTATGCGGTAGTGTAGCAAGTTGCAATTAGTAGTCCCCACATGTGCATGCTAATAAGAGGCTCCCTCTGTCATTAACAAGTCATTATCGCGTTTGAAACCGTAATCCCTCCCTGATTAAAATGCTCCCACAGATTAGAGGGTTTTATTTAAACATGATCGTGTTTGGACACGAGGTTCGGACTAAGGCCTTTGCAAACAGCATAGTTGTAAAATAGCCTGACGAGGTTTTCGTTGCCTGGACAGTGTTGCTGAAATTCCTGTAACCAACAAGTTCCTATGCAATCCTGTTCCAACATGGCAGAATTATTATTATTTTATTGCAATAATTTACTATAATTTTTCATAATACTTGCGTAATTATAGTAAAAGGATAACAAAGAAAATTACAGGGACCTTAATAATTAGTATTCTTCAGCAGACTGACGACGCTTACAAGAAAGCTTCACAGAGATGAGAAATGCATAAAGAATTTTGGTCAACAAACCTCAAGTAAGATAGTAAATGTGGAGACACTGAAAGAGATCCCCAAAAAACTTTGTGACAAGATGTCAACTTCAATTCAAGTGACCCGAGACGTGGTCTGATTTCAGGATTTTGTAAACACGGTGACGAACCATCTGGTTCCATAATGACAGAGGACAGTAAATATCAACCCCTCAACAAGGATCCTGTTCCATTATTTCAATTAAAGTTGTCAGTAAAACGTTGACAGAGATTTTTCGTAGAATATAAATGAACAATTAATATGCTTCTGTATTGTCCACAGCACAATGTCGACGCGTGCAATAAAGAACTTACGCTCAATATATAATTTATAAAATCCCTTTTGAATTTAAAGCTGTGTCAAATTCGGGGTTTATATACAAACACAGTTGTCGTCAAACAATAGTCTTTGTTGAATCGACATAAAACACTGTCGAACGTTTCCAACAGCTAACTGTAAATACAAACAACTGTATTCCAGGCTGCGATGTTATCAACAGCCACATTGCAGATCTAACAAAAGGATGTCCACATAATCACCTAAACCTTTACGATGAGCAAAACCAGAACCGATTGTCATGCCGAAGCTAATTCTTCTTACTACCCTCCACAATAAACATTACTGCCCTGAAAAATTCGTGTCGTCACATTTTCTATCATAGGTAAGCCATCGTAATTCTCTTAGCTGTAACTTCAGTATACACTGTTCGATTTCTCGAATGATTACTTAATGACAAATTCGTGTCTGCTAATCAGTTTGTTAGACCTTTGAAACTCCTGGATAAATTTAGATTAAATTTAGTATTGGAGATCCAGACTAATAGTTCCAATGCGAATCAAAATGTAGTTTCCATCGGGATACGAACATTATCCAGTAGAACAAATTAGGAAATATGAGATCTCAATTATCGCGGCGGTGAAGCTGTCGATGTTGGTCTTCTGGGTTGTGAGCTTGTAGGTTGATAAAAAAAGTTCCTGAGAACAGGTTTCTTCCATATTCAGGGTTGACAAAATATCTGCGGATCTAGAATAGATCCAAGCAGCGAAAAGAGCACGTGTGATTTGACGCAACATGTGAACTACTACAGCAAGAAAGAATGACAAAAGAGGGGAATAGTGAGATGCAAAGAAGATTGCACACGAATATGGGATAAAGAATGAAAGAAGATACATGAAAAAAACCGAGAAGAAATGGATGAAAATTTGCGTGATATTAACACCAAAGAACCCCCCCCCCCCCAAATTTAATAGGCCATGAATTAGTTTTTATACATTTTACAGATTCTATTTTATTATCTAATATTTATTTCCTAAAAACCACTACAGAATATAATCTGGATGTTCTTGGTTCATTCTGGCTTCGGGGAATGGCTATCCTGAAGTTCGCGTGGTTTTCCTCCTATATAAAAACAACTGCTGAGATAGTTCCTTAAAATATGCCACGACCACATCGTTCACATTCCTTCCTAACTCATAATAGACAAATATCCTGAATACAAAGATCCACGGTACTAACCTTTGCACCTCAGAAAGCAGGAGGAACTTACCTTTTGGTTTAGAAATCGATGAAAATCGCTACTGTGTACAGAGTGATATAGTAAGTACTTACCGTCCGCCAATCAGAAGAGAGTTCCCTTCGCGTAGCACCAAACGAAAGTAGTCCACGTATGACTCGTTGCCCGCGAAGCGATACACGTCCTCTGCGCCTGGAACAAGGAAAAAGTCGCAGTCACCTGCGAAAGCAGAGCTTGGCTCAGCACTATCCGGTGGGAGACTCTGCCAAAACTGCTCTGTGAGGTCCGGCCCAGTGATCAAATGCATTTCGTCAATTATTTGTTTATTTAGTTATGTATTTAAGACAACCAAAATTAAAAAAAAATCTGAAGATCTACACACTTATAGCGATGCCTATTACACGACAGTGGATCGGGGACTGCAAATAAAAGACCAGACGTGAATACAGCAGCTCAGATGGAGATTACTAAGATATGTGACGGGCTGTATTAAAATCAAACTCCATTGAATCAAGAGACACTGGGCAACCTAGAAAACGATGATGAGATCTATAAATGAGGTCGGATTAGGTATCTGACTAATCCTTGAATTAAAGATGATTTAATTAACGACGTTGTAAATAGCAATACTACACAGCGTACAATAATAGAACGGGCAATTAACAATGAATTTTTGGTAGCTTACTATAACGATATCTATGAGGGGGGACTGAGAAAGACCACGAGAAACCTCAATCAGTACAGCCAGTCTCTGTGACGAGATAAGAACAAGGAACATTCCGAATATAGAACAGGAATTCTAATCATCTCGCTGTGAAGTTAGACATATTTCATTAACAATATCACCATGAAACCAATCTTTCATGAATATTAAAGTTGTTTCTGAATCAAAGAAATCATTTATATTACGCAAACACAAAAACCTGTTTACGATAAGACACCTCGAATCATTTTCCATTTCAGAAAGATTTCATTTAAACATACGACTTTACTGTTAGGAAAATTCCGCTGCACTGAGCGTGTGTATGTAAATTCAAGGTTAAAGTCACAAACTAGAAATTCATGCTACATATGTACACTACACTGGCAATAAATATATCCGATATTATTTCTCTACCTTCATTATTGTTTCCATCTGCAAAGTCCATTAACGTACTGTCCACATATTTTATAAATGGTAGAGCTCAAGGATGGTTCACACTATGGACACGGTCAGGTATCAGACAGGGCAAGGATATGATTACCCCCATGCAGTATGTACCAGGATGAACACTTTGGTTGTGGCCGTGTGTATTTTGGTAGTAGTTTGGGAAGGAAAAACGTCATGTGTATTGAGGATGAGTTTCATATAATATTTCAAAGACTGAGCACGGACTGTTTACTGATTTGTCATCGACTTAAGAACCTCAAATCTCCCACAGTCACCACTCAGAAGGAGCTCGAATTATCTCTTGTTAAATGAGTACTGAAGGAATTTAAAAAAATGCACAAAATCTTCGTCATTTCAAACGCTATCCAAATTATGATTCATTTCGCAACTGGATTCCCTGGTAACGATGTTCGGCAGCACAATATGGCGTGCGTCCGATAAACATAATCAAGGCAGCCCATTCAACATAGTGGTCCACTCCTTTCCATCAATACACTGGGAAGCAGGATTCAGGCTGTTTGCATCCTGTCCAGACGGTACAACGAACATGAATCTTAACAGCAGGACACTATCCCACGGCGTATTATTCTCGGCAAATTGTTGGTGTTCCCAGTTTGAATTGCAGATTATCCCCGTGTGCGACTATAATCTTGAGACTTGAAAGGAATGCAGGAAGTTCGAAGCGTTAAAGGCAGACGCTCCTCACTCCGTAAGTCTCAAGATTATAGTCGTGGATGTAGGTTGTTGGTTCCAGTCTCGTCTCCAGGTGATTCAGAGCGATTATATTGACGGAATATTTTAATGTTTCATTTTCGAGTTTGGTGCCAGTGGTTTGGATCTATACCGAGCTTCGTGAAGACTTGTTTCCTAACAACTGTGGTTCAAGCGGTAACCTAGAAATGCTCGTCTGTTCGTTACAATATTGTTCAAAAGCGACCCACACTATATAGGTCAAATAACATATATTATTTTCCTTGTTTTGTTTCTTAAATATGAATCATACCCAAAGCGTTTGCAACAAATTTCAAATCATAATTAGATGTACATTTTAAGCCAAGTACAAAATGTTTGTACGATAAGTCATTTTATGAGAGTCAGTAAGTTACATTCTATCTTCATGTAAAGTAAGTTACATTTGATCGATACGATCTACAATTAAATTCATCTCATACTTTTACTGTAGACTTCCAGTAACGAATCTAATCGAAATCCTTCAGTCGTTTCGGAGTACAACATTCGGACGGAGAGACAAACGGACCTCCCTACATGCGTTCACTTCATGCGTTTGTATAAGGAATGCATGGCAAGTCTTATGCACCTGCGATAAATGTCCAATTTTGTAGGATTTTAGGTTTTCACGGCGGTGAGTCTGAAGATGGCTGTCTTCTGGGTTGTTACGCCGTGTTGTCTGGTAGAATTTTACCGACGTTCTAGAGGTTCTTGCTGCCTCCATCATCAGGGCGATAATCATAAGACAGCCATCTTCAATGTTCAATATTACCTTGAGAATCTATTCGAGTTCAGTCTGCAGGAGTCCGTAAGACATTCAGGCTGCTACCATGTTCCACAGCAGCGGAATATACCTTGAATTACTGAGAGACAAGACCTCGCCTGTTATCGTCCAATAGCCAATTTCCTCGCATGCAAATTCGATTCCCCATGTTTTAACAATTCATTTCCTATCCACATCTCCCGACAAAATGTATTTACAGAGTCTCATCTTATATGGGGAATACCGCATGTACCGCTTATAACGTAAAGTAATGAACTGTGCTTACGTTGCATGCACGCAATTACTTGTGAACATGATGGTCTCATGTGTTGAAGAACGTACAAGTTCACATCCTAACGGAGCGTTTCTTAGTGTCTTAGGGTCAAAGTCACTGCATATCTAGAATGCCGTATGCAGTCGGATTTGTGTGTGTGCGTGAGTGAGAATTAAGCTCTTAACCTCGGATTACAAATATTAAAACTATTCCTGCCAACTTTTAGCGACGCCCCTGGCATTTTCAACCCTTTGGTTCGTACCGATAGAGCAGTTCCTAAATTCGGTCTTCACGTATTATTTCCAAATCCCCTCCCAAGTTCCATTAAGAGATTTTATTAATGTCTTTATTGCCTATCCACAGTTCTTCTCTAATAACTTCATTACTTTTACGATGCGTCACTGTTTACCTGCGACCCTTCTGAGAACATGCATTTTCTGTATGTATTTATGATGACGGACGTTATAACAATTAAGATGATGAGCACAACGCAAAAGATTAATTGACGTCGAATGGCTTCCTGGGGGTTAACACGGATCGTAAGTTGTACGGATACACTGTGAAAAACACGAGGCAAGATATTCACTTTCCTGCCTGACATTCTAATGGGATACATTTGGTAAAAATGTGCTTTACTGCAGAGATAACCTGTTCGTTGTGCGTGTGTGTATGTATGGGATGGATGGATACGTATGCCCGCTAGCCCACATTGCAGGGCGCTTATTAAAATCGCCCCGTCCTTCAATTTGTATGTACGAAACAACTTGAAAACGGACAAGCCGGTTTCTATTTTACTTGATACTACAAAATGTTTCGAAAAAGTGACAAAGCCACTTGATTTGAATTTGCATCCGATAATATGAACGACTAATTTTCATATGAACATTAATTTATCTTAAGAAATAAGCTACTTACGATAGAAATCACAGACTAAAATTTCCGACTTGGAATGAGAAATTACGAAAACTTCACTGTCGTTTATACATACGAAACCAATATCTTATGAGACAGCTGTCAATTTCCATCAGAAGTCGGATCAGAAACATAAAACTACACTTTTTCATTAAACCTGCGTATACTACAGTATTTAAGGATTTTAACAATATATCAACACAATCATTATGAAGAAAATTATCATATTTTCATCAATTAATTAATATATTAAGTAATACTTGAAGTTCTCACAGCGGTGAGTATGAAGATTTCCGTCTTCTGGGTTGTTGCTGCCTCCGTCATCAGGGCGATGACGGAGGCAGTATGACCTCTGAAACGTTGGTTAACATCGACCAGACTACACAGTGCAACAACCCATAAGACAGAAATCTTCATACTCTGATGACGGAGGCAGTATGACCTCTGAAACGTTGGTTAACATCGACCAGACTACACAGCGCAACAACCCAGAAGACGGAAAACTTAATATATTAAGAATAATCAATCTGAACTTTCTAAAACCAATACACGATTCACTTTCGTTTTAAATGAACTACCTCCGGAAAGCGTTGCTGAAATCATTGGAGACTTAATCTTCACCTGCTTGCAAAATTTTCTGCTGAAATCTAAATAAGGAGGAAATTTCTTGCTAATTTTAGAAGACCGCAGAAACTACACCACTTATGAAGCTATTCGGTTCTGCAACCTCCAAGACACTGAGCTGAACAGGACTACCGCCTCACATGTCTTGCAGCTCCTAGTCTCATATAATGTAGAACAGTCCACAAGACAAGAAAACAACAAGAAAAATATAAACAGGTTCATTCGAACCAACACCCAATCCTGGGAAGAAAGAGTTTCCCATCTAAAGCATGGCTTCAAAGCCTCTATGTAAACATCTGTGGGGTTTGTTATTAAGTCATTGTTCTGAGGAATCATTTCAGTAATAAATAAATAGATCCCATACGTAGTGTCTGTCAGCGATATATGACTAACTCCGAAGCCTTGACGTCATGATGAAAGCTGTCCTCAAAATACCGACCCTTAATAAAATGTTACCACTGTTGTCACGATTTGACACTGCGGGTGTTACTCGAGACCTAACATATAAAAATATTTATAACTATGGAATAATAAAAATACAATAAATAAACCTAATGGAGAACTGAGAGTCAATCAATGTTTCTATTCAGAATTTGAGGTTTTCACGGCGGTGAGACGGAAGATTGCTGTCTTCTGGGTTGTTGCGCCGTGTAGTCTGGTAGAAGTTTACCGACGTTTCAAAGGTTCTTGCTGCCTCTTATCTGAATAACTGTGCGCTTGCGCAAGTGTGTACTTCTGTT